CTCTCTGAAAAAAAGAAATATATTTAAAAAAATAAAGCCATTACTAAAAAACCTTTTAAGGTAAAATCTCCCTAGTACTCAAGAGATACCTACTTAAAACTTCACGAAACAGAATGATAGGACCACAATTTGTGTACCAACCCCCCATTAATAGTTTCATCATAGCTTCTTTTCTTCCCCCTGAAAAAAGTTGCAACAAGCCTCTTTTCTGTGTACTCATCTGTGCAAATCCCCAAGATACCTTCCCAGTTGTAGAGTTCTGGGAGGAGCACACAATATATGTTCACTGGACATGCTGACAATTCCTGACAAGACTGCCATTCTACAAAGACGTCTGCTCCAAGTTACCATTCATGCTTCAGGACAGGAGGCCTCCCTTCCATGTGTTCACAGCACTGGTTATCAAACATTTTAATATAAGATTTCTATAATGTCAAATTATTTTTAAGGAGATAGTGGGAGGGGTGGTTTAAAAGAAAAAGTAATTCCCGCTTACAGTAAATTTTCACACAGCACTAAAAGGTCTTTTGACCTGTTCTGGCCCTCCAACTAAGACAAGAGTGACCATGTCACGGAGTATAAAACACACTATGGAAGCATCATACCACATTTTGCTCTTCTATTTAATCTTAGAGGTAATTGCACATCAACATACACCGAACTACCTCAATTCTCTTTTCACAGTTATAGATCATTCCACTAATCTAGCCAGTCCCTTACTGAGGGAAGTCTTCTTGGATCCTGCTTTCTGCAGTTATAATGCTATAAGAATATTCTGGAGCAAATTTATCTTAGTACATATGCAAGGGTTCTCACAACTGGCACTGGTAGAACGTGTTTTCACACCTTGAGATACTTGAGATCCAGGTGTATCAGGATTAGTTAACTCCCCATCTCTTTAGTTCTGAGTGAAGGTAAGCACCTGTTATAGGATTTGATGCCTGCTAGGAAATGCTCGGCGCCCGTTTTCTATTGAGCAATGTCAATCATGATGAATTTTATATATATAGCAGGTCCTCGAATAAAATCATTTCATTCAACATCCATGAGATGCTATAGGAACTTTACTCTTGCTTATATCTACTATTAGCCTATGGCAAAATTGGTTTCTTTTTACATCATTTCACTAAAGTCACAGAAGACCTACTGTATAAAGGAAACTAGCTCATCATCACATATACAAATATTTTGCCTCAGTTTGTCTTATCTTATATATGGGAATTTTTCATAAGATAGTATTTTAAGTTTTCATATAGACTAATGCATCCATCTTTCTCATAGCTTCTAGGCTTTATAACATCTGAAGATGACAAAAACAAAATTAACTTTTTGGGGCTCCAACTTGGTATTTTTCCAACTGGCTAATCCACAGTTTCCAACACTGTTCATTAAAAACCCATCTTCTCTACTCTGACTGAACACATACCCTTCATAATAAACTAAATTACTACTTATATTTCAATCACTTTCTGTAGTCTCAATTTCTTCTACCTAGTCTCTGACATTAATCAGTCCATTTAAAAAGTACACTGACCTTCTGACTTGATATAAATGCTAATGTTTCTAATACATTAACTAAATGATACATTACATTAACTAAATAAAACTGACATTTCAACCTATACCTCTCTATAGCTATCAGTTTACTAAAACCTGATGTCCCTCGGCAATAGCCTCTTTATATAATCATCTTTAGGTTATTGAAGAATTAAAACTAATATAGAAAATTACCATTTCCAAGTCCCATCTGTTAGTTGAGCTTTTGCTAGACATTTTTTGTTAATTCAAAGATTCAATGCTGAGAGCACACTGCTGTTAAAGGATATATTTGAAAAAAAAAAATTCTTCATTCTAATCACTTTTTAAGACTACTGGCTTAACCAGAATTTACTCCAGTAACAATATATCCTTTAACATGTCCTTGAGGGGAAAAATGTTTTCCTTGGGTTTCATTTTTCTCTGGCTTCCTTCACAGTCTTCAACTCAGGAAACTGAATGGCATCAAACCCTTCTAATGACTGCTGCTCATAATAGTGTTGGAGGATTAGGAGGAAAAATAAATTAAAACAAAACAACTCTAAATCATGCATTCTCAAAAGGAGAGGGGTAAAAACTGGCCTTAAAGGGGGAAAATCTAAGGTATTACAATGGTTGTAGTAGCATGGAAGGAATCACAGTACATAAACTGACATGCAGCATGGATTATCATATTCAGGGTATCACAGAGAAAAAGGGGACAAATTCAGAAAAAAAAAAGTTTTAAACAGGTTTCTTTGGAAGAAAATAATAAACAAAAGTTGTGAAATGTCATTTTATAACCAATAAATTGCAAAAATTTAACAGTCTGATAATACCAATGTTGGTGAGGATGTATACACTGCTATTGTGGGTGTAAATTGATTCAGCCACTTTATCAAACAATAGAGAGAAAAAAAGAAAAGAATTATCTTGAAAGGATGAACATGTGCATCCCTTATAAACTACCAACTCTCTCTCCTAGGAATATATCCTAGATAATAGAATATATCCTAGAAAAATCCTTGTACACATGCACCAAGAAGATATTCAAGAATATTCATTATACTCTTCATAATAGCAAAAAACCCCACTAATTTTGTGTATGAATCAAGAATGGATAGTTGGGCAATACTCAATCAACAATGAAATCAAACAATACCCAGCCAAAATGGGTAAATAGAAACACAATATTGAATGAAAAAAGTTATTAACAACTGTCTACACTATGAAACCATTTATATAAAGCCTCTAAAACAAGAAAAAATAAACATAATCTTCAAGGAATCATAAAAATATGTTATAAAAATATTTTTAAAAGGAAATGACACACACAAAATATAGAATAGTGTTGGGGAGGTAGACACACAGGCAGACACAAAATGGTATTGGCCACGTTCCAGTCCTCAGCTAGAGTGATGGAATAACAAGTATCTATTTTGTTTGCTTCATAACTTACATATGTTGCATTATTCCTGTTAGTTCAATATTTGGCTCTTCACAATAGGGACTAATGAACACCAAATAAAACTTACATCCAATTCAAAAAACAGGTCCCTTTCTTTACTTGCGATTTCATAATCTGCTCGGAGGGCCAAGTCGTGGATTTTGGTACATTCTCCTAAATCCATGCGCTGTAAGAAACAAACAGAAGTTTACACACAAACATCTACCCATTAGAAAGCACATGCTCTGGTGTCTCAACTGTCACCAATATAAACAATACTTTTTTGAATACTAATCTATCATAAGAAAATTAAGAAATAGAATTTTGCTGAGAAGCCTTATTTTTCTTTTACCACGGTGACTACATGATATTCAGAACTGATGCATTTAACAGTGTAAAGGTTTATATCTCTTTTAGACCCAGAGATAATTGGACAAATGAAAACTACATTAATAAATTTTGCCAATTTTATTTTTGCATCAGTCACAGAAAAAAATGTCTATTTTTTTAATAGCAGAATTGGGGATGGGGGTGGCAAGAAAGAAGCAAGAAAACCCGAGTGTCCTGACAGCAACAAGCTTCTTGTTCTAGGCCAGGGCTGGGCAACCTTTTTGTGAGTGCGTGCCAAAACCAGCAAAATCTCTGACTCAAAATTCTTCTGCGTGCCAACCCTAATTTTTTGAGAACATGTTACACCTACTTGATACCTCTTAAGGTGTACATATGTGAAGAACCTTGAAGAAATAATAAAATTCATTCGAGTGACAAAAACAGTTTGTGATGACGAAAAATAGTTATTTTTTAATGTATACATGCACACTGATAGTCCGACAGAAAACTTTATGACTCAGTTTGATATTATCAGTGGGACTTTTGCTGCTGCATAGCTGATGACAGAGATTTTATATCAGGTTTATATTTCGTGACCTTCAGAGATATGCACGAGCTACTACTTTCATCCATCAGGCTACTCCTCTTATGAGATTGCGTGCCAGCAAAAGTTACCTGCATGCCCTGTTTGGCACGTGTGCTAGGGGTTGCCCAACCCTGTTCTAGGCATTCCTTCATGCAATCTTTACTACTGAAGATGCTCAAATTGCAGAGACAAGGAAAGGAAAGGGCAGACAGAAATCAGGCTTTGGCAATTACAACACAACCTAACACTTGGCTTTTGTGTAGCACTTAGTATACCAAAGGGAATAAAGCAGAATGGGCCGATTCATAGCCAAATGAGTCCTCCATTCTCCTAACCTGGTAAATGACCCTGGACATATAAATGGGCCACTCAGTTGTCCCTTTGAGAAACAAAAGGCTCTTTAACTAAACAAATCACCTGTGTTACAGTAAGATTAGCCTGGTGTGCTATTATGTGTTTTAAGCACATGTAGAACAATTAACCCTGCACAGTTCTTATCTAAATCCTGAGTACAAGACTGCACAGACACAAACACCGCCTCTGACATCTAAACAGCAACAGGGAAGTTCGTATGCTGAGAATCATGCTTACCAAGTGATAGAGTTCAAGTTAACAAAAACCAACATCCAATGAGACAACTCATAACTAGTAAACAAAAAATGATGGGACCCAGAACTCCTTTGAGCTCAAACTGTGTTCATAATGATATCAAAACCTTCACGGGTTAAAAAAATCATAACATTTTAAGAAAATTAGAGAGGCTCACAGTGCCTGGCTCTTGGGCCCTATCTCACAGAAGGTATGTGCTATGCTCACTAGCAAAATATCCTTCAGCCCTAGCCAGTTTGGCTCAGTGGACAGAGCGTCGGCCTGTGGACTGAAAGGTCCTGGGTTTGAGTCCGGTCAAGGGCACATGTCACGTGTGCAGAAAGCAGCTGATCCATGACTCTCTCTCTCTCATCATTTATATTTCTATCTCTCTCCCTTCCTCTATGAAATCAATAAAAGTATATAAAAATAAATAAATATATATATCCCCTTCAATATCACCAGTGACAGTAATAATGAGTGAGCTGCCTAGTGTGGAGTTTATCTTCATTTCTACCAAAGATTGACTCTTACATTTAAATGCTAAAACCTCTTTCTCCTTCATTATTCTTACTCTGAAGTCATATATAGCTTATATATATTGGTTACACAGGGGATCTAGAGGTAGAGCAATAGTGGTTCTAGAAGCCAAAGTTGCAACTAGAATCACTGTCCCTGTAAAGCTGACCTTTGCTTCATTCACTCTTTTAAGTACCAAATAAGATTTCACAAATGAAACTATGTGCTTTAGCTGAAAAATTAATGGCAGCTATCAGAAATACTTAAAAGCTAAAGAAGTCTTGCCCTGGCCAGTGGTTAGAGCAGTGGTCGGCAAACTGCGGCTCTCGAGCCACATGCGGCTTTTGGCCCCTTGAGTGTGGCTCTTCCACAAAATACCACGTGCGAGCACACATGTACAGTGTGATTGAAGCTTCGTGGCCCATGCGCAGAAGTCGGTATTTTGTGGAAGAGCCACACTCGAGGGGCCAAAGAGCCGCATGTAGCTCGAGAGCCGCTGTTTGCCGGCCACTGGATTAGAGCATTGGCCCACTCACCAAAGGATCAAGGATTCGATTCCTGGTCAAAGGCAAGGGCAAGTACCTGGGCTGCAGGTTAGATCCCCATCGGGGAGTGTAAAGGAGGCAACCAACCCATGTTTCTGTCCCTCCCTTTCTCCCTTCCACTCTCTTAAAAAAAATAAAATAAAAGCTAATGAAGTAACTACCACAGGAAGCACTAAAACCTTAAGTGCTAAGAATTTTAAGTGCAAATCAATTTCCACTCTAAAAACTTCCAAATGCCAAGGAAGTTTTTACATTAGGGAACCACAAATGAAGCAAAACTCACCGTCGTCTTCCTTTGGGTGAGAGCCCTCAAGCTAAAGTAAGCGGAGGGTAGGCCTGGGTGCCATGGTTACTCTCTGGAAGTATCTTTTCCGCTTTGCCAAGGAGGCAGGGAAGTACTGGCCAATTACGCTGGCAGCTAAATACCAAACAACTGAAACACCACACTCCTTAGGTCTTTCCAAAATATCCCAAGTGGCTGTTAAATCCAGCCTGTCAGACGGTTTTTACTGCACAAACACCTGTGTACTCACTAGTGCTCTGACACTGCTAACAGGAAAAGACATTAAAGGTTTCTTCCAGAACCTTTGGAAAACAAAGTTCTTCCACTGAGACAAGTTATACTACCTTCCCCCCAGCTATTTACTCTCCCAAACTTACTAACCAATACTGTATTTTTCCATTAGGCCCCAATACAATTATTACTTCCACTCCTCTGTGCCTTACCCCAATGACAGGATATAGTTTTGAACAAAAATGTGGGCCTGGCGTAGCCCTTAGCAGGCTGACGGTTATAACCCCGTTCATCTTGCAGCTCCACTCTAAAGAATTATAATCATTCCAATTTAACACAAACTCCCCATAAGACCCATCATTCAACTCTACCCCTCACCTTCCACTTCCATGTAGCCCACACCCAATGAGGCTCAACCTTTACTACAACCTCCATTTGAATTCCCAATCCTTGTCCTAATCGATCCCCGGCAACTCTTGAGATTTGCATCTTCACATGAACATGTCTCCTGGGTTTTCTCCTTCTCCTCAGTCTGCTCCTCCTCAGACTCCTTCTACTGAGGTGCCCCTGCCCAACCTCACACAGGAGTGACTCCAGTCCGTGGCTTCTCATAACTCAAATGATTCCACAGCCTCTGCCTCCCTCCCCCAACTCACACCAGTCC